AAGCTTGTTCTAAGTAGGTGCTTTAGACCACTGAGCCATCTCACCAGCCCGAAAAAAAATTTTAATTAAGAAGAAGAGTATGCTATCATTTTTAAATGATATATACCACTCTAGGTAGGTAAAGTACAAAAACTTAAAAAGAGAGAATGAACATGAATGCCAAATAAAGCCATGAGTAACTATCAAACATTAATTCTGTAAATACAATATTAGATATATTGGATTAAAAGGGGTGTGATTAATGTAAAAGTTAAGTCTCATTGTTTTGCAACCCCATCTCCTTCTACTACTGCCCCAATTTCAGTTCTTGTCATTTCTTGCCTTGGCTGTTGGAATAACTTCTCAGCTTGTCTTTCTGTCACTCTTTTTCCCTCTATAAATTAATCTCCTTTGCAGCAAGAATTTCTTTATTAGTGAGAACCTTATTATGTGCCCCCTCAACACATATGCACACATTTAAATCACTTAGTGGCTTCACCACACTGAAGAGTATCTGTGTTGTGAGATGCCTGTTCCACAGAGTAAGTGAAGGTTGGGGAACATAGGGAAAAGAAAGAAGATGTCCTTTCTTTAATAAAAGTGCATGCTCAATGTCTTTTTTTTTTTTTTACTTGCTGTAAACACCACAGTACAACATGTACAAAATTATCAATAAATATAATCTCACTGATGGAATGCTATAAGATGTAGTTCATGTTTCTCTGTATAGCATTTAAGAGCCTGTCCTCTCCCTTACTTTTCTTCTTCTTCATTTGCCTTGCATTTTATATTGTGGTTACCCTGCTCTGTTTGTAAGTCTTTACACAGTTGACCTGTTGATCTATCTGGATGGCTGCCTTGCTGCTGCTGGTTCTCCTTCTTGGAAGCCCTTCCAACATCCTTCCTTGGTTTTTCACTCTGTTCTTCCCCAGATCACCTACCCGTGGGTTAGATTAGATGTTCCCCTTCGTACTTCACACAGGACACTGAGTAATTCTGACCCGGCACTTACTTTATTATATTGGGATTACTTGTCATTATATATCTGTCTCTCTCTGTAAATCTTCCAAGACTCATACTGAGGGAAAGGATTTTACCTGAGTCTTTGTAATTGCAGTGCCTAACACAGTTCTTAGAATATAATTGATGCTCTATAGTAGTGGAACTACACCTCCTAAATTTTAACTATTAAATTATCAAAGTTTAGGCTTTGGCATTAGCCAAACTTAACCAATGATTTACATCCAATGTTAATACCAGTGATCTTCAGGTAAAAATGGAGGAGGCCATGATAGCACACACCTGTATTGTGTCACCCTCTGGGAGGCTGAGCAGGAGGATTTCAAGTTCAAACCCAGCCTAGACATTTTGGATCCTCAGTAAGACTGTGTCTCAGAATAAAAAATGGGCTGAGGATACAGCTCAGGGTGAAGACCTTGCTTTTATTCTTATTACCACCTCCCAGAAAATTGTTAACAGTTGGGGGCTGTGGGTCAGTAATAGAGTGTGTGTTTAACATTCATGGAGACCCAGGGTTCAATCCCTATCATGCTTCCCCCCAAAAAAGTAGATGTATAAATTTGAGAATAATAGTACTCTAATTTTAGGGGAAAGCCAGTGTACATAATATACATGGTAAACAAAAGGTAAGTATTAAACGAAAGTGTTGACTAGTATGCAGGCTGTAGAAGGTCAGGGGTTTCGTCGCTTTTGCTGATTTATTTTCACTGTAATATTGTCTGTCATATAACAGGAACTCATCAGTAAATGTTTGCTGAATAAATGAATAATGTGTAGAGAAAGCACTTTATCCTTTATTAGCCTCTTAAGACAAAAATTAAATTTGAAAACATTTTCTCTTTTGTATTCAATTTAAATTTTACCCCTTGAAGCAAAAACTTACATTTTCCTTACAGTTTTGTAATGTAAGTCTCTGATAAATAGAATATACTATTTTTCATAATTATTTTTTCTCTTCTAGTAAACGAAGCAAAAAAGGAGATAAAAATGGAAAAGGCTTGAGACATTTTTCAATGAAAGTGTGTGAGAAGGTTCAACGAAAAGGTACAACATCATATAATGAAGTAGCTGATGAACTGGTGTCAGAGTTCACCAATTCCAGTAATCACTTGGCTGCTGATTCGGTAGGTAGCTCATGAGCTTGGTCTGGCCTGTGATGGGTGGTGCTAGTGTTCATCTCTTCAGGTTGTTTGTGGCATAGATTTGAAGCGCAGACAAGCTAAGAGTCCTTTACTTCGTGTTGTTAATTAGATGTTCAGGATTTTTTGTGGGTTTTTTTTTTTTTTGGGAGGGGTGCAAAATTATTTTGTTACTTATAAAAACAAAGATACATTAAAAAAAAAAAAACATTTTGGGGGCTGGGGAGATGGCTTAGTGGAATAAGTGCTTCCCAGGCAAGCACAAGGGCCTGAGTTCAATCCCCGATTCCAAAAAAAAAAAAAGGGCAGTTTAAAAAAATAAATAAATAAAACATTTTGGAGGGGCCTGAGAGATGGCTCAGTAAGGGCCTGAGTTCAATCCCCAGTTCGGGGGGGGGGGGGGGCACAAAACATTTTGGAGTTAAGCATGGTGGTGTGCACACACCTATAATACCCTGTAATCCCAACCCTTGGGAGGTTGAGGCAGGAGGATTGCTGCAAGTTAAGGATAGCCCAGACTACATAATGAGTTGAAGGGTAGCCTGAACTCTAACATAGCAAGACCCTGTCTCAAAAATAGTTTGCGTTGGGCCTGGGAGATGGCTCAGTGGAATAAGCGCTTCCCTGGCAAGCGCAAGAGCATGAGTTCAATCCCTGGTTCCTCCAAAAAAAACAAAGAAAAGAAAAAACAGTTTGGGGGTTTACTGAAGGAGCATCTTTTGTAGATATATATTCATTTACTCACCAGTGACTTCATGTACTTTCTGGATCTTACCTTTTATTCACTACCTTAAATGAACAAGAAAGTCTTGCTTTTATTTTATTTTATTTTTTATTTATTTTTTTAATAAATGAGCTTTGACTTTTTAATGTTGCCTACAAGCGTACACAATTCAGGATGGCTCAAATTAATTACATTAACAAAAAAATGCATTCCCCTGTTTGTTTTCTATGCTTATCAGATTTCATCCACTGGCCTAGGTTTGTTCTCAGAAGTAAAGTGAGAGTATATATACTGCCTTGTGAGTGGTACCATACCATCTAAACTTCTAAGTTCCCTTAGTCCTAACCATGTGTGAAAAGGTGCCCCTAGGGGACATGGTGCTGCAAGCCTGCAAGCCAGTTACTTGTAGGCTGAGGCAAGAGGAGTAGAATTCAGAATCCAGCCTAAACGTTTAAAAAAAAAAAAAAAAATATATATATATATATATATATATACACACACATACACATATATATGTGTATATATGTATATTTATTTTTAATCATTTATTTATTTGGTACAGGAAAATCTTGTTTTTAATTGGAAAAGTAATATATGATCATGTTTATTAAAATCCTGCTGTTAAAAAAATTAGTTTTACAAAACAGCATATAATTTAAAAATACATCTTCCTCTGTGTGTACGTCTTATGGGAAGTATTCATTTACTGATTTATTGAATATTGTTCTAGAAATTCCTTATGCATGTGCACAATACAGTTTATTTTGTTTTACTTTAAATGCAAAGTAATTAAAGCCTCAGGTATGCTAGGGAAGCATCCTGCCACAGAACTGCCTGCTCGACTCTTGCTTTCTTTTGTGAGCCAGGGTTTCGCTATGCACTTCAGGCTGGCCTTGAACTTGCTATATAGCCCAGGCTGGCTCTGAACTGACAGTGATCCTCCTGCCTTAGCCTCCCAAGTGCTTGGAATATAGGCATACACCACCACTCCCAGCCCTTTTTTTGTTTTTGAGACAAGATCTGGTTGAATGGTCCTGGCTGGACTTGGATTTATAATCCTCCTATCTTAGCCCCCTGAGTAGATGGGATTATAGGTGTGTGCTACTATGCCTTACTGAAATCGTTCTTTTGTATTATGTGGAAATCATCATCCTTTTTTGCAGTTCAGGTAGAATTTCAGAGGAAAGTGTACATTAAATGTAAATAGACATTTACATTTAATTTTTTCCTTATTAATAATTTACAGTCAGGTGTGTTCAAGCATAGTTGTAGGAATTTGTACAGTTATTAAGATGCAGAGAGTGTTTTCATGACCCTCTTTAATGATTGTTTTTAGAATTTCTATATCCCTATTTTTTGGTGGAACCGGAGATTGAACTCAGGCCCTTCTGCTTACCAGGCAAGAGCTTATTCTACTGAGCTATCTCCCCGCCCCTTACATTTTTTTTTTTTTTATCTGTATCCCTTAAGGTTAGTATTTTATATATTCTTTGAAACTCTTCTATTCATCTGTTTACAAAATTATTTGGGAACATTTTTCCCAAAGAACTGTTTCTTTGTTTTGTGTGTACTGACCTTGCAATTTGCCATTACGTTCTCTATTTAATATTCTCTTCTCTTTCCTGGCACTAAATATTCACTGCTTTTTTACCCTTATAGATTCTGACATAGATATTTTATGTTTTTTAGGGGGTTTTTGAGACAGGGTCTCACTATGTTGCACAGGCTGCCCCTCAAACTCTTCGAAACCCTCTGAATGGCTTCTTTTCATTCAGCTGTTACCACAGCGAGGCATTTCTCCTCATCCTTTCCAACATCTAATGTGGTATTACTGTGTTCTCCCAACCTGAAGGGATAAATAATAATTTTCTCTTGTTTGTTCACTGCTGTTACTTTTCTCATGATTTGAAAGGCTTATAGTCTGAGCTCTTTGGTTGGTTATCTTGATAGCTTTAGGTATGTTTTGTACCACTTTATGTATTGTTTATCACCTTTAGATGTCTTCTGTTTATCATGGAAAATAAGGAACTTAGTACACTTAATATTTATTCACAGCTTCCATCTTTTCCCTCTACCACAACATTTGTATTGGTTATCTTAGTACTAGTTCTGAAAAGAATAGTGACACTGTTGTTGTTTTATGACTTAAGGTAGATTAGATTGTACCGAAAAGCCTTATTATCACGTTACTTAGTCTGCTTTATTTATTTATTTTTATTAGATTATATTTGTACATTTTGGATATATGTAACAATCACATTCATCATAGAGAATTTGTTTGCCTCTTCCAGTATCAAAAAGAAAGAAATCTGCATTGCCATCTTGCTGCTCCTTGATATTTGTTATTACATTTTTACTGTTTCTACAGTGTCAGGAATTCTTCGTGTTCTCTACCATCTCCCTCCCCAATACTGGGGATTGAACCCAGGACCTTTGCACTGAGCTATATCACCAGCCCTTGTTCTTTTCTCTCTTAGTTGACCAGTCTAAGCTCAAGCATTTAATTGTCCTGGCTTAGCCTCCAAGAGCGTGGAGATTATAGGCATGAGCTACCATGGTCAACTGGCCCCCAATGTTTTTCTTTTGTACTAAGTAGGACTTTTCCACTACATTCCCAGTTTATTCTTTAATTTTTTAATTTGAGATATGGTCTTGCTAAATCACTGTTGGACAAGAACTTGTGGTTCTCCTGCCTCAGCCTCACAGCATACTAAGATTAGACCTGTGCCACCAGGCAGAGTTTAGCCTTTTATTTTGAGGCAGTCTTTCTGAGGTGTCCAAGCTGGCCTTGAATTAGATTGTCCTCCTGCCTAGGCCTTCAAGTAGCTCAGATTACAGGCATTTACTACCACTCCTGGGCTTCCACCATCATTTAACTAACTGGGTTGTGTTCTTAGGGACTCCTTGTCATTAGTAAGTAAAAGTTATGCTGTCTTAAGTCATCACAGTTTTTCTTCAGTGAAAAAAAAGTCTTTGTACAAAAAAAAAGAGGAAGGGAAGGAGGGGCCAGCTGAATGCAATAGGGTGCTTGGTGATATATTTATTATATTTTGGTGCAAGTTCCTATTTCTACTGAGAACTGAAAAATATTTGCCAATGAGAATCGGTCTGTGGGCAACATTTTTAAGAAGCACAAATTTACCTAGAACTTAAAGTATGCATTCTTAATTAAGTTTAAAATCCAGACCTTTGGGGCCAGGGAGATGGCTCAGTGGAGTAAGTGCTTCCCTGGCAAGTGCAAGGGCCTGAGTTCAATCCCTGGTTCCACAAAAAAAAAAAAAAAAAAAAAAAAAATCCAGATCTTAGAATACTTCCACTGCTTCTTTTTGAGATGACATAGATGCGTGTATACTATTAGTTTGTCTGTTTGTTGGGACAGGGTCTCAGGTTATAGTGCTGGTTGGCCTTTAACTCACTGTCTATCCCAGGCTGGCCTCAAGCTCCCAGTGATCATCCTGCTTCAGGATTAGAAGCACACACTGTTGCACCCAGTGATTTTTTTTTTTTTTTTTAACCTTTTGAGTTGTTTTTCATTCTATCCTGTTGAAGAAATCCTTTTAGGATTTTTTAAATATAGATATGATACTACATAATTTTTATTCCTAAGATTATCTTATGTTTCATATTGTTTGAAAGTATCTTTATTTCATCTTTAATTTTGGAGGATTTTTTAAAATGAATTTAGGACAGGTTATACAAGGGGTACACACAGGGTCTCACTATGTAGATTGGACTCATAGTGATTCTCTTGTTTTCAGCCTCCCAAGCACTTGGAGGGGCCGGCACGACATGCCATGATTGAGCCCTGGCCGCTGCACTCTGCCGAAGCAGGCGCTTTAGTCTGCTGAGCTATTTGGCCAGCCTTGAAGGTTATTTTTACTGAGCATAGAATTCTTTCAGTACTTTAAAGATATTATAACATTATTAATTTAATAATATATGGCCATCTTAACCCTTAACATTTATGACTCATTAAAAATCTTTTAGCAGGCTTACGATCAGAAGAACATTAGGCGAAGAGTTTATGATGCTTTAAATGTGCTAATGGCAATGAACATAATTTCAAAGGAAAAAAAAGAAATCAAATGGATTGGTCTGCCTACCAATTCTGCTCAGGAATGTCAAAACCTGGAGGTAAGTGAGGAATGTCAATTTTTGTGCAGTAGTTTGTGTTATTTTATATCAGAAGAACTTTAGTTTAGAAATATGCCAGCAATCATATAATAGTAAAATATTCCCAGTTGTTTATTCATTTGTGCTGACATTGTCTTTTAACAATGTAGAGTTTTAGAGTTTGGAGGAGCTACAAACATAGCATGCAGTTAGTTAATTTTTTAAATTATGTAATGACTAAATTTGATTTTGGTGTTTGTTAGAGAAGACACTGATTTCACTCCACTTTAATTCTAAGCACCTATGTAATACATTGTTAGTGAATTCTGTCATAGAATTGTCTTATTCTAGTAAATCTTTTGATGCATAGCAAAGCTGTGTGGGTCAGGCTGGCTGGTTCCTAGATTGGTTATATAACATTCTGCATGTAGCTATGAAAGTTAAATTTTCCCTTCAAGTTTAGGGGCAGTACCAACAGAATGGCATCTAGGTTGTGTCTATCAATGTGTGAAGAAAAAAAAAAAGTGTGGAATGCTTAGCTTACAGAAATTTGGAACGTGTGAAACATTGTGAATTCTATTAACTTGAAGCACTATAGAAAATCTTCTCTAAGTGAACATGTTCCCTAACATTCTGTTGCTAAATTGGTATGACCTAATTTTACTTTCATGGCCATAAATGGAATAAACCAAGGATTAATGATAGCTTTTAGAGAAATAAAATTAATTTTATGTATTTCTCAGTCTTTTCTTTCTCCCAGCCAATGATTATTTGGTATCTTATAGTTGTGAATGGCTGGAGAAACCATTCATTCATCAGAGCTTAAAATTAATGTTGTCATATGCTGGGATGGAAATGTCTTCCACTTTCTTCCTCCTAACATAGAATTTATCTGAATATCATTTTAACTATATTATCAGTAATATTAAAGTGATACCAAAAGTTCATTCAGCAAAAATTTATAACACATACCATGTGCTTAACCATATGGTTAAACAAGACAAAACTTGACCCTAAAATTAAGGGTCTGACTGGGGAGAGGAAAAATGTAAAAGAGTTGCCAAAATCTATGATCACACTAGACTGGGAGTGTGGCTTAGTGGAACGTGCTTATTTAGGCTCTAGGCTCCATCTCCAGCACCAGAAAGGAGAAAACAATATGATTGTTCCTCTAAAAAAGTATGTGTAGTTTCTCTGGAAAGAGAGGTAATGAAGGTCTTTACCAGGAAAATAACCCTGGAGTTAGTCCTGAGGGAAGAATAGGAGTTTACCAAGTGACTAAGGGCGGGTGGACCTGGAATGCAGAAACAAAAAACAGGTAAGGGATGGAAGTGGGGCTGAGAGCGGGCTGGGCTGTGGCCTGGGTTAAACGTGGCAGCCAGGTTTGCAGGTGTGTCAGGGCAGGAAGGGCTCTGACTGGGGGTGCTGGGGAACCCCTACAGCAACTCATCTAATGCAGGAGCCCATAGTAATATCTGGGTTAATTCTAAGTAATTTAGGGCTCAAGTGTAGAGATGGTTCTTAGAGGGGTGGTGCTAGTGCAGACCTGAATAGATAGGGAGCAATTAGGAAATAATCAAAAGATGAAAGTACAACTTTTAAAGATCTTAATCGTCTTGGGGCTGGTGAGATGGCTCAGTGGTCTAAAGCACCTACTTGGAACAAGCTTGGCAAAGCACAGAGACCACGGTTCGAACCCCCAGCACCACATGCCAGCCAGCCCCGCCCCCTGGTGGGCTGAGCTGGCCACACACACACACACAAATAAATAAATATTTAAAAAATATTAAAAAAAAATAAAGATCTTAATCGTCTTTATTTGTGACTTCAGAATAAGGAAACACTTCATTGTAAGTATAATAGAATGAGTATTCTAAACATAGGAGATTGACTTTTTATAAGAAAAAAAAAAGACTGAAGAAAGAAACAGAACAAAAAGTGAATTGTCATTTTAAAGTTACTTACGTAGCTGGGCATGGTGGCACACACCTGTAATCCCAGCACTCTGGAGACTGAAGCAAGAATTTCATGTCGAGCTGGTGAGCAGCCTGGACTACACAGTGAGCTCAAGGCCAGCCTGAATTGCATAGCAAGACTGTGTTCTCAAAAAGACAAAAAAGGACTAAGGAGATAGCTCAGTGGCATAAGCACTTGCCCAGCAAGCTCAAGGCCCTGAATTCCATCCCCAGTCAAAAAAAGTTACTTTCCTTACAAAGATTAAAGCAAAGGGACATTCCCTTAGGCTGGCCTGTTGGGGGTTTAGATGTTAACTCTCTTGCTTTCTTAGAAGATGAGAGAAGCAACTTAAGTTGGCTTGGTGGCAGGATATTTCAGCACCCAGAGCTGTGTTTTGGCTTAATGTGGGCCAAATGCAGCTCCATCCAAACCAATAACCTCCTATACAAGAAGACAGTGAGAGACTCAACTGCAAGGACATTCACAGCCTAATAACTGCTATCTAGCTACTTGTAGGATTGAGAAAAATAGCAGTTTAAAGCCAGGAAATCTGTCCCACAAGTTCTATCTTTCTGTAAGTGGAAGGTGTACCTTAAACAATAAGGTATCTCTGTTGGCAGCTCTACTCATTTAACCAAAAACTTTGCCAGGCATAGTACTTTATATCTATAATCCCAGCCCTGGGGAGGCTGAGGCAGGAAGATCACTGGGAGTTGAAGGCCAGCCTGGACTAGTGAGCTCAAGGACAGTCTGAACCACATAGCAAGACCCTGTCTCAAAAAAAAAAAAAAAAATCATAAGCTGTTTGTAAAGATGAATTAAGATAATTACATAAAATGCTTAGTTGAGTACTGAAACATAAACTAAATATAAATTAAGTGGCACTGCTGCCTTTGATAAGAATTTTAATAGTAATAACATCAAATGTTGCATACCAATTATAGTCATGTGTCACTTAGCCGTGGGAAATCCATTCCCAAAAGATGTGTCCATGGCTGCTTTCATTGCTGTGTTGTGTAAGCATCCTAAGATAGAATCAGGAGGAGAGCCTAGTGGTGCGGGCTCATCACTCAGTGGCCTCTTGGTGCAGTCAGGAGTCATGGTGAACGTGGTGGTGTGAGGCTGCTACCCACGTGACATGGCATGCTGCTGACTGTGCACTTTTTATAAGTAGGAGCAGAGTCTAACAGTGATGAAAAAGTAGAGTGCATACATAAGCCGTCACTTATGGTCAAGTACCATGCACTGTACGTAATCCTATGTGCTCTTTCATGTGACTATCAGGGAAGTTGACTTTGTTTATACCAGAGTCACCATGGATATATGGGTGACACTTTGTGCTAGTGTCACTATGAAATAGGAGCTTCTAGGTCTTTATATTTTTTTATGGTCTATTATATTCTTACAGGACTGCTTTCATACACTGGGTTATCAAAATACAGAGTGGATGCTTAGAAATTTATTACACTTTTCCAAGCCAATTAGGAACAGTCACTGGCACCCATGTGTGCTCCTTTCTAGTTGAGGGATTCTGAACCAAATCAAGTCCCTCAATAATATTTTGCACACCTAAAAATAACTCTTAAAATTTTACAGGATCTGTTCATGTGATCATATAATCGCTGTAGGTTTGTTTAATGTATTTGGTGTTCACAACTAGAAACTTTATTGAGAATCTGACTTCCTGTTCCTTTGAGATATGAAGATACTGCCATTATTGTTGGGTTTTGGAAGCAGACCAAAAAAAATAGATTGGAATGGTTTCATAATTATGTCACACAAAGAAGCTGTGAAACATATGTATTTTTAATAATAAAAAATTAACCATGAAAAAAAAAAAAAAAGAAATTTATTACAGTAAGCATACTACTACTAATCCCGTTCAAAATACCCTCCTCACTTTGAACATCATTATCCCATCTGAACTTAAGGATCTTATTGTTCTGTTCCGTTCTCTTAAATCCTTGTACATGAGTGTCTTTGAGAGGTGTGATCCAAAATGCTGTGACTGTTGTTGCTGTGCTCCGCCCAGCACGGCATGTCCTCTGCCACATTAGTCACTGGCTGGCCCTGGGCACTTCTGGCTCCTCCCCAAAGTCAGAATGACCATGAAAGATAAATGTTTTGAATTGATTCAGAACATCAAGTCAGTCATGACAGCCCACGGAAAGCCAGAAAAGAGGACTTCTGAACTGCTTCAGAGAGCAGCGACAAGGATGAGACATGTGTGTTGGAGGGGTGGATTTCGAAGGGAATTAATGGCAGTGTGTCTTTTACTGTGATAATTTCTTTTTAATTTTAAATATTGACCATATTTTTCAGTCCTGCCTTATCTCTACAGCTGTCTCTGAAATATTGTTGCGCACTCATGTGGGTTCGTGGCCAGGTTCCATTTGTGGTGACTGTGGACCCGGTTCTGTTGTGCTTACTTTACTACCCAGCCCTTTCCCCAAAGCGGGAGAGCTTGCCTTGTTCAACAGAGTAGACTGAGTTTTTCTAGGGAAAATTCTTAATGTTTTAGAATAAGTGTCTGAAAATAGAGTGGTACCTTGTATTGTTTTATAACTTATATTTTAAAGATAGAGAAGCAGAGGCGGATAGAACGGATAAAGCAGAAGCGGGCCCAGCTGCAAGAACTTCTCCTACAGGTAAGTTCTGGGGTGTGCTGAGTACCTTCCCTACCTGTGCTTTTCTTCTCCACTGCTTGCTTTTGAGGTCAGTGTGCTTTGTAATCAGGTGCCTCTCCCAGTCTTAGCCATTGCTGTTGGATGTCTTCGTGGGCATCCACTCCTGCCCTGCAGCTCCCTTCCAATGTCTGCCTTACTCCAAGCATAAGCTGTCAGGGTCTCTTTATTTATTTTGTCCTTATATTGGAGTATCTATAGTACTAAATAACTTTTAAGTGCTTTAAGTAAAATAATCAAATCCATCAGTAATCAACGAATAACAATGACTTGGTAAGTTTTATACAAATACCAAAAGGTAAAATGCATTTTATTTTATTTATTTTATTTATTTATTTTTTTTTTTTTTTTTGTGGAACTGGGGGTTGAACTCAAGCCCTTGTGCTTGCTAGGGAAGTGCTTATTCCACTGAGCCATCTCCCTGGCCCCTGTAAAATGCATTTCTGCCTAAGAAAAGTAAATTGCTCATGGGTCCCTAGCGTAGACAGAGGGAAAGGAGGGAAGAGCAAGTGGGCTGGACGGGGTGCGTGCCTATAATCTCAGCACCCTAGAAGGCTGAGGTAGGAGAATTGCAAGTCCAAGCCCAGCAAAATCAATTTATCATCCCAGGGAGAAACTACCACAGGACTGAGGGTATGTGCTCAGTTGGAAGGCCCTGAGTTCAGTCCCAAGTACCACAAAGAGAAAAAAAGAAAAAGAAATTTTGTAGTGTAAAAAAAATCTCAGAGGCTGGGGAGATGAGATGGCTCAGTAGAATAAGTGTTTCCCTGGCAAGCGCAAGGGCCTGAGTTCAATCTCCAGTTTCTCAAAAAAAAAAAAAAAAAGTCTTCATATTTTTTGCGATAATAGCCTAGAACTTCAGTAACTTTTCAGAAGTTTTATAGAACCCTTGTATAAAAATCATGTGAGGGCCGGCCAAATAGCTCAGCAGATTAAAGTGCCTACAAACAGGCGCAGGGGCTGGGGGTTCTATCCCAGAGCCTGCTGGGCCAGCCCTGCCCCCAGGCATGCTGAGATTGCAATTGAGACTGGGCGTGGTAGCACATGCCTGTAATCTCAGCACTTGGGAGGTGTAAACAGGAGAATCAGGTGTCCAATCTAGTAGTGAGACCCTGAACATCCTGTGGGCCCTTCCCTAAAATACAGAAAAAAATAAAAATAAAATTATGTGAAGGTAAATCACAAGGTATACTGTTGTTTTAACTGCAGTTGGTATAAAAATGTATTTTTAGCAGAAAGTACAGTTTGGCCATTTTCAGTCTAATCACAGACTATGCAATGAGCTAGAGACTATCCTTTCTCAGGAAGATGTCTTTCTATGAAGATATTTACCATCAGACATATCCACTTTGATTTGAATCCACTTTAATTTAAATAACTAGTTCCTATTTGATGTTTGATGCAATGCACTTTTCTACACTAAAGGTAGCAAAACATTAGCAAATACTATAGCAACTTCACTTTCTCAATACTTACTTTGTCCAATGGTCAGAATCTTGTGTTCTTAGGTATCATGAGTGATGGTTTCTCACTTTCTAGATGCTTGTATTTTCTTTGGGTTTTGTTTTTTTACCTTCGTATACAAATCAGAGAGCAGGAGAAGACACTCAGTTTTCTAGGAGTCTGGGGATGACCTGTGAGGAAGAAAGAGGAAAGGAGGTGGGGAAGAGAGCTGCCGCAGGTGAGGCAGACTGAGCACAGACGCCTCCTGGTCAGTGGCTTCTTTTTCTACTGTGTTCTGTGCCTAGCTCTTAGATTGAGCCCCATGGAGCAAGCATTTTATGTATTTTTCATACTGTGTTTCCAGGTAAGGTTTTGTTAATTGCTTAGAAGAGAGTATTCTGCTACTTTAGGAAAAAAGTTGAAAGCTGAGTTCATTCCTGTGCTACTGTCTGTGGAATCCTGCAAGAACTCCTCCTTCCACTCTCCCGCTGTCCTCTTCTTCCCTGGCTGCTTCTGAGTTGTCCTTGTCCCTGTATGGTAACCTGTAGTACCTCCCACCCTGCCGAGAGTCTCTAAATCCTGTGTTAGGATTTTCTTGGCAGCTCCTCAGAACCTTCATGGAGCATTCTGGAATGTTGGTTTTTTTGTCATACTTTTTTTTTTTTAAGCACCCTGTTCATCAGCGTGCCTGTAATCATCTGTTTGCCCTCATACAGATAGGCCATCTCTACGTGACCAGCACAAAGAAAGAGGTTGAATATTTTTTCTCTGGTGGTATAGGGAAGATCTCACTACTATTTTTTTAAGTCCTAAATTTCCTCTACTATCCCTCAAACCAAATACTGTATTTACAGATTTCAACTTAGAGACAACCTGTCAACATACACAGAAACAGCTTTCTCCAAACTAAGCTGAACCCAGAAGTATAACTGAAAGCACCTTCTGATCAACATATAGGTTGCTTCCTCCTAATGTTTCAAAGTTGTAGCTGGGCACGGCAGCACACCTCTGTGTTTCCAGCTACTTAGGAGACTGAAGCAGGAGTATCACAAGTTTGAGGCCGGCCTGAACAACTTAGGAGATCCTTTCTCAAAATGAAAAGGCCTGGGTACATGTAGTTTGGTGGTGGAACACCCTAGGCATTCCCTACCCATTGTGGAGAGTTGGGGCTGTTTTTGAAGTTGTCAGAAAATAAACTAGTTGTTTCTGAACACTTAAGTATTTAGCTTCATTTTTTTAAAGTAAATTCCTAACTCACTCAGGTCACATGCAGTGACACTACCTATATGCCACTACCTCCCATTTATCCCTTGTAACGTGAGTGAAAGGAAATAGTGTACATAAATTATACCTATAATCTACATGTCCTATGTTGTTCCTCCCAGACCTTGAATCTTTTCCAGAAAGGAACACACTTAAAGTTATTCAGACTCTGAAATGTATTGTTGTTGTTTGTGGTACCAGGAATCAAACTCAGGACCTTGTACTTGCCAGGCAGGCACTGTGCTGCGGAGCTGTATCCCTGGCTTGAAATTAATTTTGAGTCAGAAAAAGAAAAGCTAAAAGAAATTAATCAGAGGGCAGCAAATAAGAAAATTATTCTAGTGAAAATGGCAAGTAATATTTATTTTTACTATTAAAATATGCAAGCTGAGGACAGGCATGGTGGTATCTACCTATAGTCTCAGCACTTAAGAGGCTGAGGCAGGAGGATCACCATCAGGTCAAGGCCAGCCTTGGCAACATAGCAAACTTAAGGCCAGCCTGAACTACATAGTGAGACACTATCTCAGTCAACCAATCTATCAATACAAGCTGGGTGTCAGGCTGCACACTTGTAATTCCAGTACTCGGGAGGCTGAGGCAGGAAGATCATTGCAAGTTTGAGGCCGTCTTGGGCCACATAGTGAATTTAAGGCCAGCCTGAACTGCACAGTGAGAGTCCATCTCAAAAAACAGTAACAACAAAGTGGGTTTGAGGTATAGTTCAGTCACACAGCAAGTGTCTACCATATATGCACCCTGGGCTCCAGGACCATTGCTGCAAAGACAAAAAAAGTGAATTGCTTTCACTGCTTTCTTCGTGTAGGAAGTCTTGGGTGCTATTAAATGCACACAGTCTTGCACGATATGTGATACGTAAGGATGTGAATCAGGAGTGGAGGTGTGTGTCTGTAACCCCAGCACTCTAGGAGATAAGGCAGGAGGAACACAGGTTCAGGCATTGTCTGGGCAGCATGGCAGTTCAGCAAGACTGCGCCTCACAATAAAAAAGCGCTGTTTTTGGGGGGTTTTTTTGTGTGTGTGTGTAAGTCTTAGTGTTCAGTCTCTAAAACCAAATGCATATATATTTTATTATTATCATGACAATGATGATGATGATTGCGTCTGTATGGAATTTCCCTTGCCACTGTTCACAGCCCACCATCCTCCAGTGTAGCATGCAGACCTGTGCCCCAGGAGCTGCAGCAAGCTCGCAGAGCCCTCTGTCAGCACGTGAGCTATTTTGCCCCAACACCAAGCATCAGATTTTCAGCTTTAATTACAGTGTTGGCACTTTGCAATAAATAAATGGGTATTGGGTTGCTGTTTGGGCACCTCTAAAGGGTTCACCACCGCTGCTTTGGGCCACAAAGCCAGGCAGGGATGGGGAGCACCCCCAGGATGTGAGTTCTCCCAGAGGGAAGGAGAAGCCAGGCAGAGGCGCTCACACGTCCTATATTTCTCAGTTCTGGGGTTTGAACACATCTTCCCCTCACTAGTAAATGGATTAAACAATAAATATAAAACAATGTGAATTCTTTGGAAACAAAATAATAAAGATATGTAATAGAAATAATTAAAACGTGTGAATAGTTAGGGAGTATTTGATAATGATAGTGATTTCTTTTTTTTTTTTCCAAGAGAATTAAATCGTTTATTGATTACACATGGTAATGGATGATACACAGCTTCAATCCCATCTATCATTGTATCTGGTACCATTATTCAATTTAGATTTATAGGATGTGCCAACAATCATTTTTATAACCAAGTAGCTGACTGTTTGCTTGGGTGACCTTTTCAATGGTCAAATTCAGAGGTCACAATAGTAACTGTCAGTTCAACTACACCAAGGTCTCTGAAGACAATGATTTCTTTAACCAAGCAATTGTAAAGAAATTTTAAATGGAACCTGGCATCACCCTGAAGGAATTCTAATTTCACACTGTTGGGGATGTTAACCAAGATGGCTTCAGAGCACATTTTAAAAAAGACACATTTATTCAGCATCATGATCAGACTATTACATTTAACAATCAACAGTATGGGTGCAAAAAAAGGTCTACATTAAAACCCTTAGTTGGAATGCTTTACACTTTCCACAGAACAGAAACTAAAATAACCTGTTATACAATTAGTCACAAATACAGTCCTCGAGTTTTTTGCCCATACGCATGAGTATTGTCTAAAACATGTCTTCTTTGTAGCAGCTGGGCCCTGCCACCACTGTGCTTGGCTGAGTTCACAAATCTTTTGTAACCTGTAGCTTCCCTGTCACTTCTCTGGCTCTCCTCTCCTGCTAAGCTTTGTTTCCTGGAAGGGTTTAAAACCTTCTGCCACTGCCATAGCTACTGCTGCTGCTGGAGCCACCATTGCCACCTTGATTTCGTGGTTTGGTAAAATATTGGCCTCACCTCCATAGGGCCCAGAGCTTCTGCCTCCAAAGTTTCCTCCCTTCATGGGTCCAAAATTTGAAGACTGACTGTTGTAATTGCCAAATTCATTATAGCTTCCACCACCTCCATAATTACTTCCATCATTACCAAATCCATTGTAGCCATCTCCACTGCCACCATATCCACCCCCACCACAGCTGCCACCAAAGCCATCTCGACCACTGAAGTTTCCTCCGTGACCGAAACTGTCATTACCACCAAAACCTCCTCCACGACCACCACCAAAGTTTCCAGAACCACTTCGACCTCTTTGGCTAGATGAAGCACTAGCCATCTCCTGCTTGGACAGGGCTTTCCTCACTTCACAGTTGTGGCTGTTCACAGTGTGGTATTTTTGAGTGACAATCTTATCCACAGAGTCATGGTCATCAAAGGTTACAAAAGCAAAGCCTATCTTTTTTCCACTGCCTTGGTCAGTCATAATTTCAGTCACTTCGATTTTTCCATATTGTTCAAAATAATCTCGTAGGTGATGTTCTTCAGTATCTTCTTTAATGCCACCAGCAAAGATCTTCTTCACCGTTAAGTGGGCACCTGGTCTTTGAGAATCTTCTCTTGAGACAGCTCTCTTTGGTTGCACAACTCTTCCGTCCACTTTGTGTGGCCTTACATTCATGGGGGCATCCACCTCCTCCACAGTGGCATAAGTGACAAACCCAAAACCCCTGGAACACTTGGTGTTCAGATCTCTCATTACCACGCAGTCTGTGAGTGTTCCCCATTGCTCAAAATGGCTCCTCAGACTCTCATCAGTTGTTTCAAAGCTCAGCCCTCCGATGAAGAGCTTCCGTAGCTGTTCGGGCTCCTTGGGAGACTCTGACTTAGACATGACGGCAGTCGGAAGAGAGCCTGATGATGCTTCCTCCGCGGTGTCCACCAGCAGAAAGAATGATAGTGATTTCTGTTTCTGCTCTTTATGGAGTTGGTCCATGCACATAACACATCTTAATTTTTTCTCCCCTGTTCCCTCCTTGTCACTCTCCTTGTCCTTCATCTCTTTATCCCCTTCCCATTTGAGAAAGAGCTGTCTTCCGTACTTCCTGTTATCTTTTATTGTGCTATTTACAATTTGGGTTTCTTTTTGTTATGTATTTAGTACGGGATCTACAGGGTCTCACTACATAGATTAGACTCATAGTGATCCTCCTGTTTTCATCCTCCCAAGTGCTGGGATTATAAGCACACGCCACCACACCCAGTCTCAGTAGCCATCTCAGAGCACCCTGGGGGTGGGGCTGGGGCTGGGGCGCCTTGGCTCACCAGGGATTGAACCCTGGTCCCTGTGTCTGCCTGACACTTTAGTCTGCTGAGCTATCTGGTGGCCCCTACAGTTTTGGGTTTCTTGAATAAGAGAAACCACATGATCTTTATGCCTTTGTCTGATTTTTTTCACATAATGTCATATGACTCAAAGTTACCTTGATGTCAGAGTGGTACTCCATTGTGCATGGTAGTGATTGACATTGATAGCAGAGTTTTGGGTATACCATTAGGGCTAGAATAAATTGGAGTCCATTCTATTTTATGCATTTTAAGAATAAATGTTCACTTCTTAGGGAGATCATAGCAAGCCATTTTAAGAAAAAAAAAAAAAAAATATATATATATATATATATATATATATCCCAATACTGGGCTTGAACCTATGGTACTCTAACCTTGCCCTCCCAGAAAGCGGGGGACTACAGGTATCTGTCCCTGTGCCCAGCTAAGATAATAATGTTCCTAATCAAGCTTTAGTTAAGGCCCAGACCTGAGATAAACATACCTGGGCCTAAGAGTTGAAAAATAACTTGGAACTCTCACTACAGGAAGAGAAGATGTAACAGGCTGATAAAAGGAATGAATGGTTCTAACTTTAGGTATTTTTAAAACCATCATGTGTTTCATGAGCAGATGAAAACAAATGAACTACATACAGTCTTCCCAGCTATGAAATTTTACAATACATTTTCCTTGTTCAAAAAGAGCCAGTACTGGGGGCTGGGGAGATAGCTCAATAGAATAAGTGCTTGCTTGGCAAGCACAAGGTCCTGAGTTCAGTCCCTGGTACTGCAAAAAAAAAAAAAAACAAACAAACAAACAAAAAAAAACAGTATTGCAGAAGCTCACTGTCTTTAGCTCTTGAGGCAAGAAGATCACTGTGAGTTCCAGGCCAGCCTGCATACATAGAAAGACCCTGTCTCGAATCAAAAGAAAAAAGGGTACTATTTGACCCTCAACTCTTAGGAAGCTGTGGGACAGCTCACTTGGTGTTGCTGTCACTCACATGTTCCTGGGCTCCTCAGATCTGTGAGGTCCAGTTTCTGTGGGTATTGAAAACCAGGGTCATTCAGATCATGTTAGATCTCACGTGTGTGTGTATTTTTCCCCTTGAAGTGTACTTACGGTGTAGAACCATTCTAATCTTTTTTCTAAAATACATAATTTTTGTACAGTACTATAAGTGGACTGTCCCTTTAAATTCTCTAATTTTATTTAAATGTACTCATTTAAATTCTAACTCACCTATCTACATTAAATTACCATTTTCTTTTTATTGAACATTATAGCAAATTGCTTTCAAAAACCTGGTACAGAGAAATCGACAAAATGAACAGCAAAACCAGGGCCCTCCAGCACTGAACTCCACCATTCAGCTGCCCTTTATAATCATCAACACAAGCAGGAAAACAGTCATAGACTGCAGCATCTCCAGCGACAAGTGAGTAGGATCGGGGCCTTCCCTTAGTGGGGAAGAGAGGTGGTGCCCTCTGGGCAGGGCTGGCTTCCATAGAGCGGGGTGCTGCCTTGGGCTAGTGTGACCCCATCACTCACCCTGCTGCCTGAATTCCTGTCCTGGATTCCTGTCCTGGCCCCAGTCCCTGTACTGATTCCCATCCTGGCCCCGGTCCCTGTCCTGGTCCTGTGCCTGTACTCTACTGCCTGTGATGTGTTTGTCATGGCCCATGATGTGAGGTGCTGCAGATGTGCTAATTTTGAGCAGCAACTGTTGTAAATTAGACATCACTGAGGGTGTAGGACAAGGTAGATTACTGGTGATCAGTATTATAGTTTATTACTAGATCAACAGATAGCATTAAACAATCATTTCTGTTTTATCATGTCATAGTTTTACGTGCTTTTCCTTAGTAATAAATAGACGTGAAGGTGCTAGGCATTTTACTTTTCTATTTTTTTACATTTTAATTAAAGGGGGCCTGCCTGTTAGCTCAGTTGTTTAAGTGCCTAGTTAAACAAATACAGGTGCAGGATACCATGGTTCGATCCCCAGCTCTTCAAGCCTTACCAGACCTGCCCTTAAGCCAGTCAAAAGAAAAAAAAAATCCTACATTTTAATTAAAATTGATGCTCATATTTATCATAGCAAGAAAAAATAGTGAATTCCTCTGTAATTTATTTTTACCTTTCATGAAAACCAGTGATCGTTAGGCTGTGCCCAGTACCATGAGACTTCTGTGTCTTCTCAGCCATTACGAGGATGGGTGACTTAATTCCTATAAAGGGTCATCAAGGCAAGCACTTACTTTATAAATGTTAGCCGTTACTACCAAAAGTCAGCAATAATTGTCTGAATAGGGATTCTTCTAAAAGCGAAAGAAGACTATTAGTAATCAGTGTCATGGGCATGCCCAGGACTGCCTGGGGAGGCCGATGCTTCCCTGTCTATCTCTGTCACACAAGGATGCTGGGTCTCAAAAAGAAGACACTATGCACACACAGGAGGAAAAAGATGAATACAGTGAGAAGGGGTTTCAAAAATATTTGACACAAACATAACAAATAGTAGAGACTACAGAAGTTATAAAGTCAGCCAGATCCATTTTTCAGGTTTTTTAGGCCCTCTGAGATCTTGTACCTTCCTCTACAAACATAGGAATTACAGCTAAGCATGATGATGCATACCTGTAATCCCAGCACTTTGGAGGCTGAGTCAGGAGGATCATTGCAAGTCCATGGGCAACCTGGACTACATACTGAGTTCAAGGCAGCCCAAACTACATAGCAACACTATCTCAAAAAAAAAAAAAAAAAAAGAATGACAGTGTTTTATGTTGCCAGTCTACAAAACATAGATAAATTTATACAGGGTTCAGCCCAGTAGTCAGCAGATGTTATACATCTGAATTATATTTATGAGTTTATAAATCCTTTGCAGAAACCTATATCTAAAAGAACTGTTAACATCTTTTTAGGAAATATCCCCCAGTCTTTACCTTGTAGTTACTCTCAAAAGCTTATGTGGAAGATTATAAAATTCTTTTCCTAGGGCAGCCTTTAGAAAGGGTATCAAGGAACTCCAAAATCATCAGCTTAGCAGACCACAAACACTGTTCTCCCAGACCAGAATCTAGGGCGCTGTACCTCAGGTACCTCAGACCTAGGCCTGGCCCAGCCGCTCTGCATGGGTACACACTCAGTGCTGAAAGTGATGTACACACTCAAGGCTGTGTGGCCCCTGCTGTCGGTTACTGTGGTGATGCAGTCATCCCCTTAATTAGGCAGGAGACTTTCCTACAATGAGGATTAAGTTTATAAAGCTATTGCTTTTAACAGATGCCTGAAATCCTCTCTTTGGCAAAGAATGCTTTCACAATTTTTTCCTAAAAACTTATTAATGGACTTCGTTCATATACGTTAGAATATTTAAACATGGTATTTTGCTTCAAATTGTTAAGGTTTGGCCAGGGAGATAGCTCAATATAATAAGCGCCTCCCTGGCAAGTGAAGGGTCCTGAGTTCAAACCCTAGTACCACAAAAAAAAAGTTAAGGTTTTCCCTGACCTAAGATATCTGTTATAAAACACTTCACCCTCACATGATTTTAATAGAAATTCCACAGCAAGGTAGAAGCCACTACTGTCCCACTAGCTATACCTTCACTCTGTCCCTCCCTGATGAAGGTGTCACAGGCCCAGCAGAGGACATGGAGGATTGTGTCTTAGTTGGGCAGCTGGATGCCTGGATCAGGCCCTTTGTAAGAACATGTGGCAGTGTGCTACATACGTGTTACATGTAACACTTTTTCTTAAAAACATGTCGCTACTTCATCTTTAGGGAGAGATTGAAGCATTTGTTGTCTTTCATTTAACCCAAGCATACTGGTATATGCTTATAGTCCCTGCTACTTGGGAGCTGAAGCAGGAGGATTGCATAGGCCCAGGAATTTGACACCAGCCTGGGCAACATAGCAGGCAAGACCATACCACAGACATAGCAAAACAGATCTTCTGTTTATGGTTAGCTAAAGTATTCTGTAGTGAGCCCTTGACTCATGAAAATGAAGTTAGCATTCAAAATATGTTTTCCTCAAAGCTAATAACCAGCTGGAATAGGGAGACCACATCAAACTAAAATGACTTGTTTTGTTTTGTTCATATCAGAGGTGGAATCCAAGGCCTTTCCAATGGCCTACATCCCCAGCCGAATTATGTGTTGTTAATTCTGAGACATGGTCTCCCCAAGTAGCTAAATTGCCCAGACTTGTTTGAACTTCTGCCTCAACCTCCCAGGGTACAGGAATAGGCTTTGCTTTTGTGACAGAACTATAGACAACTTTGAAAAGCATTGGGTTTAGAACAGAATGTCTGTCTCCTGCTTGCCAAAACATTAGGACTAAAAGATATGGAGTTAAATGAAGTGTGGTGGTGCATACCTATAATCCTAGCACTCGGAAGACTGAGGCAAGAGGATTACCACATTGTGGTTAGCCTGGGCTACATAATGAGTTCAATACCACCCTGAACTATACCACAAGACTTTGTCTCAAAAACAAACAAAAATATGGACTTCTGTGGTCTGTCTCAGGAAAGCTATTTTAATTAGAAATGGATTATTTGAAAGGTCATTCCTTCCCCCTGAACACAATAAAATGACTCAGTGCTCTAAATGGTAACAGTCTGTAGTACCATGGCTAAATTTAGGTCTTGGCTCTTTAAAAGTGCAGGGTCGGGGCCGGGGAGATGGCTCAGTAGGATAAGTGCTTGACTGGCAAACGCAAGGATCTGAGTTCAATCCCCAGTTCCGCCAAAAAAAAAAAAAAAAGCTCCAGAGTCCCATATATTGTCAGTTGGTTTTAAGGGGCCGGGGAGATGCCTCAGTAGGATAAGTGCTTGACTGGCAAATGCAAGGATCTGAGTTCAATCCCCGGTTCCGCCAAAAAAAATAAAATAAATAAAAGTGCAGGGTCCACAACTATTCATATATCTACAGTACCATGGAAAGCCTTATTTTTACTTTGTTTTGTCCTTCAGGTTTGAATATCTTTTTAATTTTGACAACACCTTTGAGATCCATGATGACATAGAAGTGCTGAAGCGCATGGGGATGTCCTTTGGCCTGGAGTCAGGCAAATGCTCTCTGGAGGACCTGAAGCTCGCTAAATCACTTGTGCCAAAGGCTCTAGAAAGTTATATCACAGGTATGTCCCCTACGCTGACCCATTTTCCTCAATTAAAGGTCAAAACCAAGTTTATTAAGAAAGCTGTAGAATTAAGGCAAACCTGTACTTGGATCACCAAATTGAAATTTGTAACATTGGCATAATAAATTCAGGAGCTTTTTCTAAAAATTGAGTAGATCTTTGTTTTTTGTTTGTTTGTTTTTTGTTTTTTTACAGAACCAGGGATTGAACTCAGGCCTCTGTGCTTGCCAGGCAAACTCTTATTCTACTGAGCTATCTCCCTGGCCTCTAGAGTAGGTTTTTATAATATCCTGAGCTTACATTTCTTCTTCTTCTTCTTCTTCTTCTTCTTCTTCTTCTTCTTCTTCTTCTTCTTCTTCTTCTTCT